TTTTTTTAAAAAAAATTACTAAAAATATGATCTTCAGCTAAATCAAACATGTGATTAATCACTAATCGCTTATTTCCTAAAAAAAATTATTATCATCAAATTTGAAAAGAAGTTTATGACAATAAAGAAAACTAAGGGGGCCACTATCCCTACTCATCAAAAAAATCCTCGTGGCAGACACCATTTTTAGCACCATCAACGGTTTACATTTAAGGATTGCATTACACACCAATTTGGTCATATACAATACACTTTGACAGTGGGACCCATCCATCACAAATTTCCAAGCACACGTCATCAATCAATTAGACGCTCGGCATACAACGTGGTGGCATCCCACTGGCAGTTACTTGTGTTGCTAAAAGCAAGTTAAAAAAAAAAAAAAAATCTTCCTGATTTTTACTCTCTACAGTTTCTCCCCCCACAAACCTCACAATCTCCATGCCTCAAGGAAGGTAAAATAGCACGCCACGTGTCGTGCAGAAAATATCATGATGAGGAATCCAAGTTCTTGTTGATGATCTGGTCACTAATATGGGGCCCCAACAGACCTCGATAAAGTGACTACGCTGAGAATACGTTTGTACACGTCATGGACGGCCCACTACCGGGTCCCATTATATTCCAGCTTGAAGTCAGGATGACGTCACCAATTAACATTACATGTGATCGAGTATCTAACACATTCCCATTTTAAGGGTCCGTCTGGTTTACATCGAAAATTTGACCATTCTACTTATTTCGTCATATTCATAATGAGTTGATTCGAGATAAGTCTAGTTAATCAATTATTCTTCACCCTCCACCATAACTCAACTCAACGACTACATTTTTACTTTCATATCTAATTCAGGGCACTTGATATATATTGATATTCCTCGTCTCTTTCATCAAAGATACGAATATGAATCTATAGTCTTGTTGAATTTCAAGAACAGTATACATTGTAAGTCGTTCAATCTAATCAACACAATAATCATTCTTAGCCCTTGTTTGGGTCCCATTAAATTACATTACATTACATTAAATTTTTCTCTTCATTTCAACCACACATTTATCAAATAAAATAATATTACACAAATCAATAAAATTTTAACTACACATTCTCCCATCAATTATTATTTTAAAAATTTTCAACCCTCAAAAATGCAAAAACATGGGGGCCAAACAGGAGCTTAATGAACCCTCTAATGAACGAAATAAGGAGTAAAAGTTAAGAAACATATCGTTTTGGGATCATACTCTTTTGTCATATACTGCATAATTGATTGATATTTTATTCACGTTTCCCCGTGCCACACAAAACCACTTACGTAATATTCAACTTTGTGGCGTAACCCACCCCACCCACCCCGCCGGAGATTTACATATAATTACCTTTCTTTGCCATTTCTCTTCCACGTACAAATTACCCTCCCCAGTTGCCACCCTCTTACAATTCCCCAATTCACTCACGACAAATTTTCCTAGTGGTGGTGATGCAAGGCGTCCACCGCTACGGGCTGCTAGCTGAAGGCGGAGTAAGACTAGAATTGACTCCAACCACCACCTCACCACTCTCCTTAGACGTGGCGGAGTCAACGGAGATGCGTATCCAGCGCCTAATCTCTGAAAATCCAGTGCTCATCTTCAGCCGTCCTTCGTGCTGCATGTGCCACGTCATGAAACGCTTGCTCTTCACCAACGGCGTGCACCCCACCGTCATCGAATTGGAGGAGGACGAAATCGGAGCTCTAAATAACAAACAGGTCGCCGCCTCCGCCTCAGCCTCAGACTCAGCCGGCGGCGATGGCGAAGTTGGAAGCGGAGGTGCACCGGCGTTATACATAGGAGGTGCACTTGTTGGTGGGTTTGAAAGTCTCCTGGCACTCCATTTGAGCGGTCAGCTCGTGCCTAAGCTTATTGAAGTTGGTGTTCTTGAAAATAATATGGTATTGTAATTATTAATTATAAGTCACTTATTTGGGATCATGATTCTAGTTTTACTTAAAATTAGTAAAAACTCGTTTTCTTATTCTAATAATCCTCGTGATTAGTAATTTCTTAGCACGATTAGGAGGATTCTAGATTAAAGTTAATTTATGAATTATGTCATTTTATGTGATTTTTACTTGAATTGTAATTTTATTGGCATATATTTTGTAATCCTTCTTATATTTTTAAATATTTTACGTAAATTACTTTATTTGTGTGAACCCTATAATTGAAAATAAATTCCAAGTTAAGCTATGAGTATCCAAATAATTGTGGTGGAAGAATATTCTCAATCTTGTTTATATTTCTTGGAAATTATTCTCAACACAAATTAGAAATCACAATTGCTTATTTGCTTTTCTAATCTACTTTTTTTGTCCTTTGCCTTTTGGACTATCGAATGAGTCTTAATTTCTTGTTTTTCCCCATATATGGAATTTATTGATGCCACCACTCCAGTTCTCAAGTTGTACCAATTCGAGCTAGGTCGATCGAACAATATAATGAATAAAATTTAAATGTCCAAATGTGGTAAGTAGATACCAAACACGTGATTCATCAGTTCTTTACATTTTATACTCGCCTTTTCCCGACAATTTTGACTCTTTTTGAAGACGACAATTTTTGGTTTAGCTAAAAATTAATTTTTTTAAAATAAATTTTGATGAAAGTTATGAAATGTATGATTGAAAAGTTGATCATTTGTGAATACCAAGAAATGTGTGATTAAAATTAATGATTAAATTTTTATTTTTTTGACTTTTTAAGCTAAATAAAACAAAGGGACAGTTGAGATTAGCAATATATATTAAAAAAGTAGACACCACTTCTTTCATTTAACATTTGCCATTCAATTATAATATTATTTTCAAGAAAAAAGAGTGTAAATTGGGTTCATGAATGCCAAACCCACTTTGAAAGATTTTTACCAATTAAGGAAGGTAAAAGGTTAAAAACAATAAAGTCCATTGTGAGAGGAAGAAATGAACCCACAAATATTTCTTTATCTTTTTTCCTTTTCCTTAGGGTTGGGTTTGGAATGGACAGCTCCTTATGTGGTGTATACATTCCAAAACTCTGTGTGTTTTGTGTGTGAGATATTAGTGCCAACCATTTATAGGTAAGAAAAAACTGTGGGCAAACACGTGCCCGCACAAAGACATATATATTACGGTTTGTTCACGGAGGGTTTAGTCAATAAGGCCTAAGATCGTGCCATGATAACATCGTGTATAAGGATGTTACTTTGGACCGACGTGCTTTCTTTTGATATTTCATAATAAAAGCCAAACGGGGTGCAATTCAATGCAGAGTGATTCAAAGAGAATAGTTTAATGTGCACTTTATGCAGTTGTTCTTTGTCTTCAACTTAGTCTAAAGTAAGCCACTTTATGTACTTTAACTTTGTTCCTCTTACTTGCCATAGGTGAAGTCATCTTCCTTTAGGCTTCTTTATGGGACTTCCACTTTCATTATAAGTGCCTTTTCAAATCATTAGCTTTTCTTTTTCTGCTTTTGAATGTGTCACGGCATGTAGCAAGAAACCGAACAGAGTCTACATAAAGAATGTATGTACACAATTGATTTTCTTCATTGTATTTTACCTATTTTTCTTCAATAAAATATACAGGTGGATATTTTCCTCATTGACACGTTGCTAAAGAAGAGACGCGAGTCGAGTTAGATGAACGATATTAAAGACATAAATAAATTAAAAAAAAAAACCCCACCCTAGTTGTTCACTAGATAACTACAAAAGAAGATGAATTTGTTGACAACAAAATTCTGCTCAATTATTCCTGAACAAAAATCAAGTTCAACAGGGGAAACATGGTATACAAATTCATTTGTGCATATTTCAACTATCAATCATATCAAATTAAACATATGCATGCTACAACATAAATTGGTCTGTAATTGTATTGTTCTATTCTAAGTCTGAGGGTCGAGACGAATAAAATTTACCAGAATATGCTATAATCTGCTCCAATCCAAAGTCTTCTTGACCTCGTCGTACAAAACCAAAACAGCTGCTGCACCTGTACTCCTAAATATATTCGACAGTGCTCCACGATAAAATGAGGATAAACCCTCCATCTTGTATATCTTCCTCCAACAATCCAATGTGCTATGGTACATTGGCTGTTCTAAGCCTGACTGCATCATCATCCGCCTTCTAACAGTATCTAATGGATAAGATATCAATCCAGCAGATGTCGTAACCGCCTGAGCCACAACCCAACGCTTCCACAATGTAACATCTAGCTCGGATTTTTCTGACATCCTCTCTTTTATGGTATCAAAACCACCAAAATACAGGCCACGATGTACAACTATTCCCTGCAGAGAGGCAGGAAGTCCACTGTAAATCCCTGGAATTCCATTTTTCTCACGTATGGTACGCAGGAAGTGACGTATGCCCCTGAATTGGCGAGCCTCGGTTCTTCCAAGGTCGGCAGCAAGGCGTGTATGGGCAATATCAAGTGGATAGATGATGATTAATGTCGTGCAACCAGCTGCGGACCCCGCAAGGAAATTGGCAGATGGACCAGATAAAAAGCCAACTTCTTTTGAGTAGCCGCGGAGAATGTTCCGGTAGAGATCCTGTTAACAGATGCGAATAGTTGACTCTTATTGTAATCGTTGTAAAATATCACTATCCTCATCAAACTCTTATCATGTTTGAGAAATTTAAGCAAGGCACAATATAATAGAACTCAAGGAACAAAATATGCACATTTATGAGAGTGGCACAATCTCAAAAATGGTTAGAATGGGGAAACGTAGACCGTTACATAACATGGGGGTGCAAAATTTTTTTGACTTTTGGACTCTTTAAAAGACGTAACCTAGACTCCCCAAGTTATTGGGAATGGGACTTAGTTCCTTCTTAGGCCACATACATATCATTAGTAAACTAAATTAAGAATTTCCAGACAAATAAACATAGACTTAAAAACCCAAAAGATGAAAGAAAGTAGAACATTTTATGGCTAGAGCTAGAGGGGAGACGTTTCGTAATTTACAAGGTCCCTAAAAAATACTAGAAAAAAAGAATCAAATCAAAGATTTGATATGAACAGAAGCATACATGTGTGATGCTTCTTCCTTAGTTAATGGTGTATGTCTTTTTTCTGTGCGAAAAAGAAAGCAAAAGAGGTGATGCAATTGCACATCATCTTGACCTAGAATGCTTCTTTTCTACGAGATTTCTACAGGAACTTTGTTAGTTTAAACCAGCCACTTCACTAAAGAAACTGCTGCATTCAATATACATCAAATTTACCACCTATGCAAAACCATGGTGACGAATGCATACACCCTTCCACTTCGTAAAGACACGGTGGTATTTGCAAAGTACAAATACTGATATGTCTGTATATTGATGTTGTCAATAGACAACCTAATTTATCCAACTTCATGAAGTTTAAATCTCTTTGCTTTCATATAACCTTATAGTGGTTCTGAAGTGAATCATAAGATCGTTTAAAAGTGTTGTAAAACTCACTTTATGTGCCATATTACATTCGAGGTAAGGAATTTCTGCTGAATGCACATATATGGTAATTGACAGGATCACTATTCCTTCTCTCTACAAAAAAGGAAACAAAGAATATGGTTCTCTTTCACTAAAATATGAAATCATAGACCAAGTTACTTTTTGATATCAACAGACAATGGGCTGTCAAAAATATAATAATCAAAGTTTTGGATAATAACTCCAACAATATATCAATTTCTAGAATTAAGTACCCTCCATATTATCAGGGATATCATGGACCACAAGAATTTTTGTCGAACGCTACGTGATAATGTGTTCATACCCTCATCCCTGAAATATAACAGTAAAAGAAGTACTTAACCAGGTAGTCATACATCACGTACAAAAGGGAAGTAGGAAATTCAGTTCCTCATACAGGGTAAAGTCATTTATGGTTTTGATAACGACTGATAATTTATTCTTTCACGTTTCATCTGATAAGAAAATGAAACACATGCTGCAATGGAGGTTTCACTTGTGTCCAGATGGTAATGGTAGGTCAATCTTGTAGGACAAAATAATAAATTCGAATCTTCCACCATAAATTGAACTGCCATTGGCAGAAGCTTAGCTAAATTACCTTCCAAAATCCAAAGTACCTTGCTTCTTTCATAAAAATATAGACATTTCAAATTTGAATGTGGACTTGACTTCTTTCTATGCTTTTTCTTGTTTTCCAATCATTTCAACCATAATCATCGCAGTTCACTACATTTTTTCGAGTATATCCAATGTCCACGCTCTTTCTTGCTTTTTTTAATGTTCGATGACCCCTTATTTTATGATTAACTTGCCAAAACAGATTTTTTGGTACTCCAACTTATCTCATTAAATTCCTTCCTGAAATTGCACAAGTTATGTCAGGCACATTATTTTTGCTTCAGTCAGAACTCTGACTGACCGCCAGTATACGCAGCTGGCAACATCATAAACAATTTATTTTACCAGAAATTGAAGAAAGTGCCAAATTGTAGTACTCTTCAATAGACACAGCCGAACATAAACAAGATTCATATTTCTTAGTAATCTACTTGTTAAGAGAATTAAATAGACCACTACGCATGGTATCAAATTTATTTTGTCCTCTTAGAAATTACACTCAGCACAGAAACTAACTGCTGACCACTTATCCACAAACGACACACGTTAACCTAACATCTTTCTAATTTCAATCGTCATCGCAAAACCAACAATTGATTACCATGCTAGAGAGCTCATTTATGGACGAAGGTTCGCAGTAAGCAAACAGATGTAGCCTAACAACAATGGATAAGATGAGCTCGTCAAAAAAGACTAATTCGATTGGTGCAGCTGCCCCAACTTAGTACTAGAAGTCAACGAATCAGCTATGAAAAAAATTTACAATATAAAGTTCTCAAACTAAAAAACTTCAGCGAACTTCAAAATATAAATTTACTGTAAGACATAATTATTAAACTTTTTCACCAAAATTATACATTCTAAGTACCATCATTTATCAACAGCATACACCCCTACAAACACTTCACCGGACTTTCAGCTCTTATGTAAAACATGAACGTGCATTCAAGATCATTGTATCTCAGGAGCAGAAATAGAAGGAATTTAGGCTACATTTTTACATCATCAAATTGGATTGGAATGATGATCCATTCGAACTTAAAACTAAAGATTCTGACAGATTGCGAATCCACTTTTACTATTCCATGCCACGAAACACAGCAATCTAACATCAAAAAAGGATGTCTAACTTTACATAAACAAAGACGTAAATTTCCCATATTAGTACCATTTCTTGAAAGTAAATTAAGTGAATACATTATAGCACTAAACATAACACAGTATGTAAATGAATCACTGTAGTAAAATCTACAAAGCATAATTATTTTATTTTATTTTTCTGTACAAATCACGGTATGTTGAAAATTCGACCATCCTATTCACATACAATCCACCGGAAATTCCAACGTAATTAAAAAAAAAAATTAAAGAGTGAATATTTTTCATTATTACCTTGAAAGAGAAATTGAGGGCAACAGAGGGGTAATATCTGATGACACTGCTGCCATTGCCTCTCCACAGGGAGAAAACTCCTTCTTCTCTGACTGTACGAACAATGCAATCTACCATCCCCTTGAACCTCCTATGGGGCCCACCTGTCAAAATTGCCATGTTACTCTCCTGGGTCTGCAGCAGCAATTTGGCCCGCTCTAGAGGAGCCACAATCGTGTGCACCACACCCCCCATCAATGCCCCCGCCATTAAATCCCTGCGGAAGTTACTCAGCCAATCCGTCGCCCCAGATTGCTTTCTTGAAATAACGAGCTCTGACGACTTACCGCCACCACTCTTCCCTTTCCCTTCACCTTCCTCCACCTCCCCCACCATAATGGGCACCTCAAAAAACACACAGATATGAACAGTTTTTCCGATTTCTCTTCAGATGTATAATATTTCTTGCGAGACGAAAGTGTAAATTCCCATATGTTATGCATTAATTTAGGGCATTTTCTGGTCGCTTGTTTGGGAAAAGTACGCTAACTCGTATACAGTTTTTCTCTTTTCTTGATTCTGTTTCTGATTTTTCCTTCTTGCGGGTTTTTATTTCTGTAAATTGTGAGTTTGCAGCGTCTTTGAACGGAATTCTAGAGTGGGCCGTTGTCCATTTCTTGATATGATATTTTTGACTTTTATTAGGTCCTAAAAGGAGACATAAAGCTGAGTTTTAGCTCTTATTTTAGTCACATTATTTTTTTCATTAGCATTTATTTATATATTTTTAATCATATATTTTTAATAAAATAATATTTTTTATCACATCAATAATTTTTCCTTCTTTTTCAACCACATATTTCCCATCAAATCAATTCAAAAAAATACATTCTCTCATTTTAATGTGCACCAAACAAACTCTTAATATCAGTTTATGAAGCAATACATTAACATCCAATTAAATGATTTCGTATTCAATTTAGTTTATGCCGGCGTAGTATAAAAAAATATAAAAAATTATGTTAAAGTTAATAATTAATTTTAATCGCTCATTTCACGAGTTCCATATTTTTTATCAATTTTTCAACCACATGATTCTCAATACCTTTCATCGTCCTTTCGTTAATACTCAACATCAAATATACTTCCGTGGGAGAAAGTGTAAAATATTGGGAACTAGATAGTATATTTTTTGTTCTTTGGCAGCGTACACCTGATTCTCCTAATATTTTATTTAATTCTGATTATAGGAAACATCGTTTGCCTCATTCTGTAGATGGCTCGTGGATTCAATTTTCACAAATCATTTTCTTTTGATTTTCGATACAACGATTCAATAGCTAATCACAAGAAAAAAAACAAATATTAATAATCAAGAAATCACTCCACTTATAGCATCGTGCCACCACTGGGAGGTTCGATCGCTAGCTTTGGCTTTGATTTCTCTCTTCTTGAAGAACGAGAGAGGTATGGCATGTCTGGAAACTGGAATACGGTATTTTCACCTTCTATTGAAAAGGAAGCGAATCTAATCCATTGAAACGCGAAAGAGCAATAGGCAGAAGCTGAGGCTCGCTCACCCAATCTTAAGCATGAATATGCAAAAGTACCAATTTGAGAGGAAAACCCCATCTCGAAAAGGACAATAAGTTTCTCGCAAACATAATCTGTAAGACATTTTATCAATTTCTCATGGAGATGGAGAAATGATTCAAATGAATCCAGATAACTAATCTAATTTTTGTTCTTTAATGAGTTATTTTTTTGGTTACAAATAAATATTTCTCTTCCATATATTCATAAAAACCTTCCATCTCCACACAATTAATGGTATATAGAATCGAAGAAATCGAGTCATCCTGCATCCTGGTTACTAAAAAGTCGCCTAACCACTTCATGCATAAGGGTTTTTGTAGATTTCACTTTTCTTCTGTCCAGCACTCTCGGACCGATTATCTTGTTGGAAGGAATTTTTAGAAAAAAAAATTTGTTGAAAATTTAGGTATCTACCCGCCTTGGAAGATCATTATTTCCTCCTTGGTGAAAGAAGGAAAAGGCATGAGAAAGAATTCTAAAAGGAGATAATTTCATAAATTCGCTCTCTCCAACATTTCTATTTATCTTTAGAAATAAGGCGAGAGAAAGTCAATATGATATATACGTTGATTTTTTCAACAAAACTGAGCACTAATTTTCTTTCTTATTCGGAAGGCTCAATCCCCACACTCGGACTTCAATAATGGGAACAACCTTCGCACTTCAATGCACTAATGAACAATAGTTCTCCATCTTACTATATTTAGAAGAGTGGTCG